AATCCATCCATCCAATCCATCCATCCAATCCATCCATCCAATCCATCCATCCATAGTTTGAAACAGAAAACTACTTCTGCAGTAACAGAGTTTGGTCACAGGTTTGATTATTGTCCGATGTGTCCTTGAGCAAGGCACTGAAGATGCCAGCAGGGTTGCAGGTTTGAGTCCCGGATGTTTCCATCTCCTCTGCTGAGCAAGGCACTAAGAAACGGTTTAAACCCAGTCTGACCTCATGGAGGGTTAAATCCACTGATGGAATAAAACAGATCAAAGAGTCGTCTTCATCATCATCATCTTCATCGTCTCCGCCCCCAGTCGGCCATCTTTAAAAGGAGTCAGGTGACCGGGTCTACAGTCAGAGTGGAGGAGACGACTGGAGTTTAAGAGGAGCTGCAGGTCGAGTTGGACGTAGAGGAGGTCGCCTGTGGACAGAGACGTTACAGTTTAACCCTGAGAAGTAAAAACACCTGTCAGGTGTGGTTATGACCCAGTCTCAGGTTAAACCTTAGAGGGGGTTAACAACAGGAAGTGGCTTTTCCATCATGTTCCTAAATGTTTGGATGAAGATGCAGGAAACACAGTGTCCCCCTGCAGTACAGGTTGTCTTCAGTGGCTGAGGCAGAATCCATCCTGTTAAACTCTAAACCTTTGTGTTTATTAAAGATGGACTCAGTTTTTATCTGGATAACTGTCAGACCTGGACTGAGCAGCAACTTCTCTTTTTAAAATATCCTCATTTAGAAACCAAAGTTTACAAAAAGAGTTAGCATGCTAACAGCTAAATATAAACACTAACAGATTACAGGAAGGTCTGGATCATTCTGAAACTAACTGCATCAGGAGGACTGGACTGGATCAGGTTTGTTTCCTTAATTTAATTTCAAAATAAAGCTGCTGAAATTCTTCTGTATTAGAAAAATCTAGTTTAACAGTCGTACCTGTGTGGACCGGTTCTAGGTGGGCCGGCTGCTTGTGGACCAGTTATAGGTGGGCCGGCTGCTTGTGGACCAGTTATAGGTGGGCCGGCTGCTTGTGGACCAGTTCTAGGTGGGCCGGCTGCTTGTGGACCGGTTCTAGGTGGGCCGGCTGCTTGTGGACCGGTTCTAGGTGGGCCGG